CGGGTTGACCAGTGGCGGGTCCATGGCAAAAACGACTAAGTGCGAAATGCGGGGGACGGACCAGACTTCCAGTCTTGCCGAGGTGCCGGGGCAGGCCGGGAAAGGCGCCTCGTCCCGGGGTGCGATTGGGATTCGCCCGCGACTCCGGAGGTCGGCCCGAGAGGGGGTCGCGTGTCTACGTGCCGTCGCGATACGGATGAACGCGATTTTCTTGGAATTTTGATTCATAACTTGGAACGAGGGGCTGCACGGAGAGATGCCTAGCCCGCCTAGAAGAGAAGAGAAGAGAAGAGACGAAGGCCCCCTCGTCTGGGAACGGAAACTGAGCGCCCAGGGGCGGTACGGAGAGATGCCTAGCCCGCGTACCCCTCACCGTGGCCGGTGTGAGGCGAGACGAAGGCCCCCCCGTCTGGGAAGGCAAACTGAGCGCCCAGGGGCTGCACGGAGAGATACCTAGCCCGCGATCCCCTCACCGTGTCCGGGGTGAGGCGAGTCGGAGACCCCCACCCCAGGGCGGAGCTCCTTTCGCGGGGTGACCAGTGGCGGGGCCCGGGGGAAAAAAAACAAGTCCGACATCCGGGGTGAGGCGAGTCGAAACCCCCCCGGGGTGGTGCTCCTTTCGCGGGGTGACCAGTGGCGGGTCCAGGGCAAAAAACGACTAAGTTCGAAATGCGGGGTTTGGACCAGAGTTCCAGCCTCTCCGAGGTGCCGGGGCAGGCCGGGAAAGGCGCCTCGTCCCGGGGTGCGATCGGAATTGGCCCGCGACTTCCGGAGGTCGGCCCGAGAGGGGTTGGCATTTCTGACCGACGTTGAGAATCCGGCGAACGCGTAAAATCAGTTCTGGAGTCCACAGAACCTTTGTCCCCCTGATCGAGTGGAGTGCGTTGCGCACCTGAGCTAGGACCCCGCCCGGCTACAGGCCGCAGTGGGCGGGTGCGCCTAGGGGGCGCGGTGAGTGGGCACATACGTGATGAAATACAGAAACAAACAAACAAGACAAATGATATACAACTTCTCTTTACAGATGTGCAAAAAAGGTACAAATATAAGATGCCAATTGCGGAGCGAGACCCGCGTGTAGGTAACCAGCATGCTGCGGTTCTCCGTCCCAACCCCGAGGGTTACCTGGTTGATCCTGCCAGTAACATATGCTTGTCTCAAAGATTAAGCCATGCAGGTCTAAGTACACACGGCCGGTACAGTGAAACTGCGAATGGCTCATTAAATCAGTTATGGTCCCTTTGATCGCTCCACTTGGATAACTGTGGCAATTCCAGAGCTAATACATGCGAACCAGCGCCGACCCTCCCTCTCGGGCGGGGACGCGTGCATTTATCAGATCCAAAACCCATCCGGGGTCGGGGATTCGTCCCTGCCCCGGTCCCTTTGGTGACTCTAGATAACCTCGCGCCGATCGCGCGCCCTTTACGGTGCCTACCATGGTGACCACGGGTAACGGGGAATCAGGGTTCGATTCCGGAGAGGGAGCCTGAGAAACGGCTACCACATCCAAGGAAGGCAGCAGGCGCGAAAATTATCTATTTCTGACTCGGAAATGTTACCAGACTTTTGGTTAGGAGATCATGAGACTGGCATATGCAGTCAAAGGGTGAAGCCCATACTAAATCGGGTTAGACGGTTAAACCCAATCCACTCTAGTGGAAACGGACAGATTACACGGTATCGGACTTGGAACCCTCGGAGGTGGGGCAACCTTCCCAAACAAAAATATGAGTGTACAAAATAAACAAAATTCATCCCGGATGGAAGGCCGCCCAGTCAAACAAGCTGCCATAGAGGGAGCATGGGTAAACGGCGGGAGTATATATGACTAGACTCTGATATGTATAGGAAAGTGATGGGCAGGGTTGTCGGTTGGAAGTGAACTTGGGACTGCGGGTCTGGGTATAAAGGCGGCCCTCCAGTCCCTCGCTCGCCTCGAGCCTGTTACAGCTTCTTATACGAAGCCAATCACCGGATAGACCGGTTTTTGGAAATCCGTG